CACATGTGCACACACAAATACGCCCACTCACCCGGCACCCCATTATTGCTTCTGATTTATAAAATCTGTTTTATAATTATATTGACACATGTAGGTGGAAACCTAAAATGACACTTCATTGTGGGGAATAAAGAACTCCCCCCTCTGGAGGAGAGAAAATCCTCTACTATGTGATGTTTCTTGAAAGTGTCCTTAAATATACCACAGTTCACTCTTTCCTAATAGAACACATTTCTCCCCTTTAATGTGTTCATTTAACCCTTGACTTTGTATCTAAGAAATATGGAAAAATAAATCAAGGGTTACTTAATAGTTGTCATTGCTTTTACTTCCTCTGCATGTCTTACTTTCTGTGTGATTGAGTTCAAAGGTGTCCATAAATATTACTGTGAGTTGGTGACTAGTGGGCTGTGGGCTATGAGATGTATCTATAAGGGGATATGTCAATGAAAGATAGACATATCAGCCAGGCTCAAAATCCCAGGACACTGCACAGGAGATAATGTTAAACACACACACACACACACACACACACACACACACAGGTATATATATATATATATTTAAAAATGGCTTCCCAAGTCATGCTGTTGTCTTGTTCTTCAATATTTCAGTGCAGTGACTCTAAATGCAAAAGACATTGCATTCCTTTCTCAGTCTGGATGGATTTCTGGATTTTTAAACTTTTTAAAACAAAGAGTGACAACTTGAAATTATTACTAACAACACAAAATGAATTTTTATGATACTGGTAAGAAAGGATTCAAAGTAACAGGTTTACATCGGGGCATATGTAGACAAAGCTAATTTAGATGGTGAACAGAATTTGCCTATTATTATTGCTGCTGTTCTGTTATCCAAAGTCTTGCATCTGATCTCTAGGGAGTGGCTAAAGAAGTTAGAATCTATGGTTCTGTTGATCAGGTAACAAAAAGAAATCTGACTGGTTTATACTTTGTTTGACTTTTTGATTTTATTTTTGTAAACTAAGAATATGATCATGCTTCTAAGGGCTGATCTAAGCATGTGAGTCTGTTAACAGATAAGGAAGAGTTGATAAAGTTGGAAATTGTTCTATAAGACTATAAACTCAACTGCATCCATTCTTTTTCCCCAGTCTTTCTACTAGAATAGCTTAAAGTTTCCTCCTGTAAACAAAATTCAATTCCTTGTTTGTGTGCTGGATTCCATTCCTTCTCAACGTCCCAAGAATATCCCTCTTATAGATCATCTGTCTTTGGATTGCATCATTAATCAGCCTCTTCCACCACTACCAATTTATTATGATTAGTAGATAAACATGCTCTAGAATCTCCCATCTTATAAAAACTTCATTTAATTTCCTGTCCCCTTTGAAGTACTGTCACATTCCTTTGCCTCCTTGAAAGCAAAAGCTCTGTGCTCAAAGTTTAATTTTATTTTTAATTGACAAAAATAATTATTTGCATGTGTGGGATACAATGTGATGTTTCAATACAGATATACACTGTGGAATGATCAAATCAGGCTAACTAGCATATGCATAATATAAAATATTTATAATTTCTTTGGGTGAGAACTTTTAAAGCCCTCTCTTTTCGCTATCTTGGAAGATAAAATTGTTCACAATAAGGGGGGACCTAGGGAAGAGGAGAATTACTTTAGATGAGGCAGAGTGGAGTGAAAGGAGGGGGGATATGAGGGCAGAAAGGATAGTAGAGTGAATCAGACATTATTATCCTATGTACATATATAACTATACGACTGGTGAGATCTTACATCATGTACAACCAGAAGAATGAGATATTATACTCCATCTATATATGATGTATCAAACTTCATTCTACTGTCATGTAGAACAAATAAAAAAGTTATTAACTATGTTGTCCTGTGTACCAAGAAACTAGAACTTATTTCTCCTATGTAACTGTAACTTTGTACCTATCCATCAGCATATTCCCTTTCCTCCTCCAACCTCAACCCAAAGTTCTTGAAACAATTATCTGCACTTGCCATTTACACTAGCTCAACTACCATTCATTATTTTATCTCTCTTCATTTAATATTAAATTTTAAATTTGACATTTTTTTCCAACTTCCTATCATTATCCACCAACTCCAACAATTCAAATGAGACTGCACTTGTCAAATCCCTAATGGCTTTTGTGGTTACAAAGTATGAAGATAACATCTTCCTCAATCTCTCAGCACCTCCAACAGGGATGCTACCTCCTTTCTGAAATATGGAGTTTTTTTGGCCTTCACATAAGTATACTATATCAATTTTATTTATACCTCAGAGTCTTCTCTCCTTTTTAGTCTTTTGCAGATTCCTTTCTTTCCACTCAACTTCTAAATGTTGGGGTTGTTGAGGCCTCCCTTTACAACTTTACTATTTCTTCTTAGAAGGTATGTTTATCTCATGTCTTTAAATTATATGTATATGTTTATGACTCCCAAAGTTTTATCTTTAATAGTCCAGATATCTAGAATAAATCCCAGGCACATATATTCAACTACATATGTTGAACTTAAAGAATTCCCAAGGCATCACATTCAAGCACCAACTTCTGATTTCTCTTCCTCCTATACAATTGTTCTTTTCCTAATCTTCCATATCTTAGTAAAAGATATTGTAATCCATTCACTTGCACAAGTAAGAATGCTATTGGAATCCCTGATTGCTTCTTATTCTCCAAAACATTGGAAATTCTGTTCATCCTAGTTTTGAAATATATTTCAAATGTCTACTTCTGGTATGACTGTGGTAATAACCTAAATGGTCTTCCTGCTTCAACTCTTGCTACACATCTCCAATCCGTTCCACATTTTAGAATCATGTTTTTTAAATACTTCACATCATTCTCTATTTAAACTGTTATGTTACTCCCTATTTAAAATTCTTCAATGGCATCACACAGGTTTTAGAATTTAATCCATATTCCTAACCTTCAAAATCTTCATTCTTTTGTCTATGCTCTGACTCCATTTCCACGATGCTCCACTCTCTTTCTTTTCACCTCAAAGCCTTCCCATTTGTAATTCTTCCTAGAATAAAGATTTGTCATTCTCATATCACTTAATAAAACAGCTTCTTTTCAGTCTTCTCAATGTGAACCGAGGAGTCTCTAGATACCTTATTATTTGACTTATTCCCCTATTTATTCTCAACCAGAGCTCACAGTTTATTCTCTCCACAGGGATTTAACATGATTTATATCAATATTTCTTTATTGATTAATTTATTTGTTTGCAGGCTGCCTTCTCATTAGACCATACACATCACTGGTGCCTGCTAACACAGCCAGATAAAATAATTATTTGTTGATCAAATGAATGATTGTTGTGACCAATAGATACATACTAGGAAGGTAAAATGGGTACAGAATGACACGAACTGGCTAAGAAAGAGCTTTAGTTTAGCAATCAGTCCATCTTTGAGTTCCCAGAGGTTGCTGAGGAACTCAAAGAAAATCTGTACAATGTATGAATTTAGTTGACCAGAATTTTGGATCACCCTGTGTAGTAAAGTTAAGAATGTCTACTTTGCCTTCCATCTAACCTAATCTTATAATTGAAAAAATACATCAAAGTAATAAAATTTCAAAATAACAGTCTAGGTCCTTGAAAATGGGTTTTGCTAGATTTAATGATGAGTTGGTTTCTATGTACCATAGTTCAGATGAAGCACTGAGGCAGATGAAATGGCCAACATGGAGAAAATGTTGACAGGGTGTTTGATCCATCAAATCTTTGTATACACATTTCTTACAGAAGAGAGGTTTTCAGTTGTCAAAGGAAGATAGCCTACTACTATTGAGCAAGACAGCTTCAACACTTCTCTTCACTCTCTTTTGATGTAATTCTACCAAACAATTTCAAATATAAAATATAGTTGACAGCTATAATGGAAAGAGGGTGGGACTTCACAAGTTAGACTTTAAGTTTTTCAAAGGGAAGGACTGCAAGTTGCAAGAGAAATGCATTTAGGAAGCTTTATTTTTTCCACTTATCAGATAAGTGGAAAAACCATAGACTGCGTCAGACTGTACCGATTAAACTGCTCCTAATAAGAAAGTAACCAAGTAAATAAAAAGTCGGTTAAGGCAAGCCACTCTAAATAAAAAGCTATAGTGCAGTAGACACTGAGTGTGGGTCTGTACACCTTATTAAACTCTCCTTTTTGCGATTAAAAGGAATAATCAGAAAGTAATCAATACAGAAAACCAAACAGAATATACTCCCTTGTTTAAGTGAGAAGATCTGCATTTTTCTAAATAAGAAAGCAGCAGAGAAGGGAGGAAGGAAAAACAAACAAAAAGTAGAAAATATAAAAAAATATTCTGCAAGATAATGAGAATTTAAGCTATGGAAGATACAGCTATTTTTTAAAAAAATGATTCATGACTAGTACAGAAGTTTCACAGAGTGTGGTTAATATACTCAAAATTCATAAAAACAGACTTCAAAATAAGAGATGAGCATGACAAAAATAATAACAGAAAACTGAAATTTAAAAGGTGCTAAATTGAAGACAGGCATAAATAAATAGAAAACTGAAAGAGAACAAGCAAGATTGTACCACAAGTATAAATGCAATACTGTGATGAAATAAGTATTATTTGCCATAAAGAGCAGAATAATCACTGGTGTATATTGTATTGTACATAAGATATTGCAGACGTTCTTCCAGGACATGGAGGGACACAAAGGAATTAGTAAGAGAGGTTATACATATGGAAGACAAAGTTTGAACATCAAAAATGTGGGGAACTAATATTCAATAAGAAGAAATGAAAACATAAATGAGAATAAAGGTATAATCAACATAAAATTTCTCAAGTTCATAAGAGACCTAAAAAAAATAATAATCAAAATAACAACCTAGCAAAACTAACAAAAAGAGACACCTAGGTAAACATATTCTTGTATAAGCATAGAACTTTTAAGATAAAAGCTACCAGCCTTTCAATTCTCCCCACCCCCCCACACCCCAACAAGGTTTTCTCTCCCAAACTCACCTGTTACCCCCATCTGGTCTCTCAGTTACCTCTGTTGGGTTCTTTTTCATCCAGCAACAAGAAACATGAAGGCAGAGGTTGAAGGGAGAGGAAGCAGGAAGGGGACTGGCAGGAGGAGAAGCAGAAAACCTCACTCACAAAGACCGTAGAATTTAACAGTTCTCCCTCCCAGGACCCTTCTATCTTAGCTCCCAAATCAATCTGCGGAGCCTCGACACCAAAGCGGGCCCTTATGTGATGACGTCAGGTGCACAGCGTCTTCCGCAGCACCACTTCCGCTTCCGGCCTGTGAATTGCTGAGGTGAGCCCTAGTCATCCTTCAGCTCTACCCTTGGCCCTGTGATGTAAGATCCCAGCAAGGACGGTGCAGACCAGGAATTCAGAGGGACTGAGAAGTTTTAGTGACTGTGAAGTTTGAAGACCTAGTTCCTTACTCAGCGCCCCAGCCTTTAAAATTGGAAAGGTAATAACTGGTAAATTCGAGTTTCCAGTCAAGCCAGGTATAATGCCAGAAAGATCATCTTAGAGCCAAGAAAGAAATCATAATTCTAACAAAACAAATCCTGGAGTGCTCGTGATGACACAGACAACATTGATACTTCCATTTTTTGAGAATGCTAACATCTTCAAAGAGTAGCATGCGCCTCATGTTGCAAACCAGTGTTGGGATGGCATACTAGGGGGTTACAGATCCGTTTGTTAGTCCCAGGCGTGGTATTGAGTTGGGCAGCAGAAACTGCAAGGGACTTCAAATCAGCATAGGCCTGGAGAGAGGAAGGAGTACAGTGTAGCAGGTGCCATTAACATATAGACTACACCTGTGTATTGTGGACACCAGTGTAGACCCAGCTGCTTGGGAGACTGAAGCAGAACGTTTGCTTGAGCCTGTGAGATCTAGGCTAGCCTTGGCAACATAGTGAGACCCTGTTTCAAAACAAAGTAAGCAAGCAAAAAGGAAAAAAAAAAGCAAAAAGTGGACTAGAGAGACAAGGAAAGAACAAGATCATAGATGCAAAGATATGTTCACAGCTCTCATAAGACAGTTGCTACTCCATGTAATTTTAGACCTTATAGAGGACCCCAGACCCCAGTCACACTCTGACCTAAAGTGAATTTGATACCTGGAAGACATCTAAAAAATAGATTACTGTACTTTCTTGTGTAGCCTAGTTTAGCTGAGCTCAGTTGTTTTGAAAAATGTGTCTTGAGACTGGGGGAGAGTGCTGATTTGGCTGGGAAGACACTAGAGCTAGGAAAGAGGTTAGAAAAGGAACAGTAGAAATGGTAACATCTGCTGGGTAACCAACATTAGGAAGGTTCTGTGGTGAGATACTCAAGGTGGCAGAGGAAATAAAAAAACAGAAACAACAAACAAACACACAAAAACAACCCAAGAAAGTTGAATAAGGACTGAAAGTGAGTTATAGCAGTCTGATATTTCAGCCTCCTCAGAAACGCTGAAAACACCAAGAAGGAAGAATGAGAAAGTGAAAAAAAAAATCTACAAAATAAACCAATGAACCATTGTACAAAGAGAAAGACTCTTCTCCTCTATCTAGGCTTCTTAACCCATTTAATCTCATCTTTAAAAAGTGACAACATCTCCATCATGTAGACCTCTTGGGTAAAGCAAAACTTCAGTACTTCCCTTTCACAATACTTTCAGGAAGCAGCTAAATATAGCGATGGTGATATACTAGCTCCAATCTGTGTAGGCAAGAGATTCCTAAGAAAGAAAAGAAAGATTGAAGTGGGAAGTCCATTGGTGATCCAAGGAGATGGACCAATCAAAAGCCACTGAAAAGATTCTGAAAAGAAAAGGAGCCCAAAATAACAAGATTCCAGATTTGTACTTCAGCAAAGAAACCAGAGGTGAATTCAGTTCGTTAAGCAAGAAAGAGTTGATTAGGAAAATAAAAACAAACTAAGGAAATATAATAAACAGAATTCCACTTGGCCCTCTCTATCTTGAGTTATTTTGGAACTCTCAAATCCAACCCAGTAGCCACTGCCCATGTGTAGGCATTTCAATTTTAATTATTTAATCAATTACAATTAAGTAAAATTAATTGCAATAACCATACTTAGAGTGTTTGGTGGCATCATGAGGCTGATTGCTACTGTAGTTATTGTATTGAACAATACAGATATAGGATATTCCCATCACGGCAGAAAGTTCTATTGGACAGGTATATCCTAGAGCAAATCAAGACTTTCTCTGGATAATAGAAATTAAAGTGCTGCATACATGTAGACAAAAAGTAAGTATAAAGGAACAAAGAGTACCTGGGCCTTACTCTTACAAACCTGAACATCAGAAAATAAATCAGTTACAGTTCATGTGAAAGGAAAAGAAAGAATTGTGATGTGAACATGACCAGAAACTATAGTACATCTATTTATTTATTTTTCTTTGGAGAAAAATATTTAACCATATCTTCTGTAACTTAGGAATAAATTTAAACAAAAGAACTCAAGAATGAGGCAATTGTATTTAAAGGCTGGGATAAACCTTGGCACTAATTAAACATTTTTATAATAATAAATGAAATCAAAATTAAGTATCAAGAATAATCCTGGATGATATACAGTAATACAAGATGTATATCATAAATGACATTACTACTGGTAATATGATTCTGGTCAGGTTATTTTTTTCAAAGTGTATATGGGAAGTTGGAGGCATGGATGTAGTAAGAGTAAAAGCATACCTTTTTCCTAATTTTGTATGGGCGGGGAGTAAATTATTTCTTTTGTTTCAATGATGTATTAAGAAAATTTATAATTCTAAATATATGAAAATATGTACTGTTAAGCACTTTGTGTATTTATATAACTTATTAGGGAAATTTAAAAAATAGCAAATGAAGCACATTTAGAAAACACCTGATCATAGAGGAATGGAAGAGTAAAAGCCAAAAGCATAATAAAAAATTATGACATGTCACCACGTAGAGGTTGAAAGCTCATATTATTTAAAACAATGAAAGCACAAAATTCATGTGTTTTTTTAATGAGAAATGACTCTTAAATCATTTCATTAAACTGTTAAAAATTAGACAAAGATTTATCAGACAATACCAACAAAAAAGAACACCAGAGCTGCCACATGCATGAAAATTAAATCAATTCCCAAAAGCAATAAATGGACAGGGGGGATTTATTTTATTTTGATGAAAATACAACAGATATGAACCTTGATATACCAAATATAGAATTTAAGTATTCCCAATGAATGCTTTTAAACATGCAAGGAAAATTCAACAGAGCTATAATAGTAGGGGATTTTTTTAACATACACTTATTTATTTATTTACTTACTTTAATGTGGTGCTGAGGATCCAACCCAGTGCCTCAAAGCTGCAAGGAAAGCGCTCTACTGCTGAGCCACAACCGCAGCCCCATAGCGGGAGATTTTTTTTTTTTTCAGAGTAGAGATTAGAAGTTTATTAAAGGACAGCAGAAAAGACTTCTCCCGGAGGAAAAAGGGGACCCAAGAGGTGGAATCTGTGGAAGTGCAGTTGTTTCCCCTTTTTATAGTTTTGGTGATGGAATGTAGGTTGGAAGGCCCAAGGGGTAGGACACAGGTGGGCCAAAGAAGTAATCTGGGCAGAAAGGACTTCTGATTCAGCACCTCCAAGTTTGCTGGGGGCTGTTCATTAACACTTCTTTGAGGTGGACTTTGGCCTAGGGCCTTTTCGGACTTCGTTAACATTCCATGAGTTGTCCTGCGTTTCCCGGAATCATTCTCAGCATGGCCTCCATTTTAGATTTCACTCGGTATTAGACCCGATTTACCTAACTACACTGACTACCTAATTTTAAATATGGCTTCATTCCCCCTTCTAATTTTGGAACTCCTTACTGCTGTAAGGAAGGGGGGGCAAAGAAAATCTTTCTGGCTTCTTCAGGCTGAAAAGGGATGGTGTGGGGCAAGCAATTTGGAGTCCCCCTTTAAAAATCGGGTCTATCGAGTGGTCCATGATAGAAGTCTGATTGAGAAGTAATAGACTGGAAGGCCATTTGAGTGATGGGTGGTCTGTAAGAGAAACAAGAGTTCATTAGTACTGGAACCATATTGATGCAGCAATAAATCCCATAGCACAGGAATATGCCAATGAGTATGATGGCAAAGACAAAGACTAACAATGTTTTCCACCAGGAAGTACCAAGAACCAGGAGCTAAGATATTGTTTCCATGACAAAGTTGCTGAGGACATGGCTTCTATCTGAGCATGTAAATCTTTAAGGATATTTATCACATTGCCAGAGTTGAAAGGGATGTAAACACAACATTTAACTTTTAGGGTTACAGATGTCCTTTTCCTTAAGGTACAGTTTAATAATTTAATATCATCTGATCTTGCAAAATCCTTTTACTAGTATGACCTCTGTGTCTAATAGAGAAATCTTTAATTCTGTTACTTAGGGCTGGATAACCATACCAGCAAACATTAAGCCTACCTGTGTAGGTTAGAAATAAAGGCCTTAAACTAAAAACTACTCTGGCAGTTCCTTTTGATAGTTATCAGGCATTCCTGTCTGAGAATCTCTTTTGTAGTCTCCAGTTTACTTATTTATGGAAGTTATATTTAACTATTATTATCATTTAAAATGCCTAGGAATAGTTGTGTTTTGGCTTTGACTGTCTTTGCTAAGTGTTTAAGATGAAGCAAGTCAAACTGACTTTTGTTTCTATCGATTGTTAACAGTCAGCTGAGTTTCCCTGGGTGTCCTCGGGGAACTTTACAGTAGATTCTCAGTTCTGCTAGTGCCATTTGCGCTGCTAGTGCCATTCTTGCTAGGATGGGTCCAGGCCTTGCTTGACCATGTGGCTTCCCTCGGAAGCATCAGGGATGTCTCCCTTTTTTCATGACCCTCCTCTTCACAGCAAATGCACTGATTGGCTTTCTGTCTTCCTCTGGTCTCATTAATCTCCCTGATCAGGAGGTTATGTGGCCTAGAGTTGCAAAGCTCTTTGGAGAAGGCCCCTATTCCCTGATTCAGTCTGACTCAGAGGGCAAGAGCCAAATATTGGTTTTCTTGGCCATTTTAATTTAACTTTAATTTTAAAACTTAATCTTAAACATCCAGCAAATAAGTTTTAACAGCCTTATACTAAGAGTACTGGGCTTTAATGTCTATCTCTCTCTCCTGTAGGTGATAACTCCTTATCTTAAATTAACCCAGGTTGTGTGTTTTT